AATACAAGAAAGTTACCAATTTCTTCTTCTGAAAGACACCCGTTTGGCTGTTTCTATAGATCCTGCCTCACAACATGCTAACAAATTTGACTTTTTACATACGTTATGTTACTTTTAGCAAGATCTCATTAAAAAAATACAAATATATAAATCAACTACTGAATTATGATGTATTGTCATTGATTAGCTGAAAGTAAAACAGTAATAAAAGCGAGCTTCACCTTTACCAGCTGCAACATTTAAATTGTGACCACATTAATACACTAATTACAATATATATTATTATAACATTTGTAAAAGCTTTTAGTTTTGGTACACACATCTCTACTTTAATTTCTACACTTTGGTATCAATATTTACTGAGTACTTTTTTCAACACTGTTAAAAAGTCAACCCGGTATCACGGCAAGACGTGAACATGTGACGATCTACCATGCTGGGAGACGTGAATATATCACGGTTTCGTCCCTTCAAACGTGACAGTTACACGGTATTGTTAACATGGCCCAACCAGTGGAGAAATACCCGGAAGTGCCTAGCAAATGGTCTACCGCGCCTATTGGTCGGTTTTTATTGTCAAAATTAGATGTTTTTAATTTATTTTTTAATCGTCACACTCGATTTTGCCGATTTTCTTGTTGCCCTAGCTGGTCGACACCTCTTTTAGCAGAAACAAAGGCTACATTAATGTATTAAATCGATGTTAATCCATGTGTGTGGAGGTGAGGATGTGGAATTAACGGACGTGACGTTGTGCGATTTACGCAACGCAACGCAATTTACAAACTCTTCAACTACAACCCTAATTATATTTTAAAACATTTTAGACAGCCTCACGAAATACTTTAATGTAAATTAAAATGTAAATGTGAAGGAATGTGTGTAATGTGGTGATTGACATTATTCACCCACGGATCAATGGGTTGGGGGTATTATTCCGCACGGACATTTTAGTTAACCGGACTCCTGTTGATGTGAAATCCGAAAACATTTAAAAAAAATAAAATAATACTTTATTCCGAGTTTGCTTGCTTTTCTCTTTGGAGGTTATTACATAACGGCATTGTAATACACGGTTTGGCTGCATTAAATATGACACATCTGCCGTAGTTCTGTATTTATAGAGCCCTGATGAGAAGACTTCTGGACAAACAGGAAGCACTGCCGCCAAAACTGAAAACGTGACGTGGATCATAAATATATCCGCAATTAAACAACATCTTACATTTATTTTCACACAATACGTCTCCTTGCAGTATCAATAATAATTCGGCTGACTTTTATATTTGATCCAATTGGTAGATAGGCTGTATTTACACCATAACGGTGCACAGCTGATAGAAAGGCACATCTAGTGGTTAAAGCACGTTATTGAATTTGATTATTTGATTATTTTTCACAAAAATGAAACCATCAATAGCAGAAACAGAATTAACTGTCATTAGTAAACCACCCAAAAAAAAAGATCATAAATGGTTTTGTTTTATAATATATATTTTAAGGATAATAATAGCAATGTAACACTGTCTATGACACTTACTGTATAACACTGATTTGAAAAACATACAGAAAAAACTAATTCACTGCCCTTAATAAAGTATTTAATACATTTCAGGTGTGCTGTTTTGTTTAGATCATTGACATCTGGAGCTCTTTTAATGTCCTTTTTGATTATTGTTACACCAGGTCTTGTCAAAACCTTTATTCCATATTCAATATCCATTACTAAACAAAACAGCAATTCTACTCCACACAATTCAGAGGTTAACCTGGTATTTTTACTCCACTACATTTATTTTAGTTACTTTGCAGATTCTGATTAATGATGTGAAATATAAACAACCCTTAAATCAGGCTTTAGTTACACCTGAGTAAAATTCAGGGAAAGGTGATTGTCAAGTGCCAACAATCAGGAGAGATATTTGATAGTTGCTGCTTGAGAAGACTAAACATTTATCTGCAGATCCCTATAAAGTATATTCATTACTCGTTATTCTCTACTAATAGTTCATTAAAGACTGTATATAATGGCTATTTTGCATATCCCTTTCAAGATTTCAAGATTTTCTAAGGATCATTGACATATCATAGACACAACTAATTCAATAACGTGCTTTAACCACTAGGCGGTGCACACAGCCATAATAACTTTGTATTATTAGTGTAGGACACTTGTGTATGTATAACATCTGAAGATGTGTAGTTTTATTCATGTTTTCACATAATTGTACAGGATATTGCTATATTATTTCACATGTTTTACTTATAATATCTGATTTGTAAAACATCACAGACAGAAAGGTATATCTGTCATTTAACAGTAAGCTATTGAAATTCTGAATCCATAGATGTGTCTCCCATCGCCCAAATCCCCTGACTATTCTCTCAACTCAGTATTTACATTCTTATATTCAAAGAAAATCAGTAATATCTTTAAAAAAGACAAGTCTTTTTATATCAGCTGTGCACCGTTATGGTGTATAACGTTTTTTTTTCCGGATTTCACATCAACAGTAAGTCCGTTTAACTAAAATGTCCGTGCGGAACAATACCCCCAACCCATAGATCCGTGGGTGAATAATGTCAATCACCACATTACACACACCCCTTCACATTTACATTTTAATTTACATTAAAGTATTTCGTGAGGCCTTCTAAAATGTTTTAAAATATAATTAGGGTTGTAGTTGAAGAGTTTGTAAATTGGGTTGCCTGGCAACGCAATCGCACAACGTCACGTCCGTTAATTCCACATCCTGGCCTCCACACACATGGATTAACATCGATTTAATACATTAATGTAGCCTTTGTTTCTGCTAAAAGAGGTGTCGACCAGCTAGGGCAACAAGAAAATCGGCGAAATCAAGTGTGATGATTAAAAAATAAATTAAAAACATCTAATTTTGACAATAAAAACCGACCAATAGGCGCGGTAGACCATTTGCTTGGCACTTCCGGGTATTTCTCCACTGGTTGGGCCCATGGATGTATAATAAGAACTGGATACAGCGTGGGAGGCGGGGCCTCATTCATTCCTATGAGAGTTGCTCATTCGCGCATGATGATAAAATGGCCCAACTTTTGAGAGAGCGAAACGTCACAGATTACCCGGCATGCCTGAGAAGTACCCGTATGTGCGCTCATAGCGCATGCGCAACTTTAACCATGCCCCCCAAAATGCTCGTTCACATCAAGCACGTCAATTTGCGTACACGTAACAGCACCGCACGTTCATGACAGCATGGTAATGTTTGTTATGATAGATTTGATATTAACGAGGCGGCAGTTAGCAGCTAGCGGTTAGCTAGTAATTATGCTAATTTACACATCAATCGTTATGTACTTTTATATTACGCTGTAACAGGATCTAGTGATATCCAAGCAACAGAGCTTCATTTAGCATGAAATAATTATTGCACTGTATATATATATATATATATATATATATATATATATATATATATATATATATATATATACACACATACACACACAGTGCAATAAGCTTCTTAGTGCAATAAGAAGCTACAGGGACGTTAATCTACGTCGGTAATATTAACTTTATTTAATACAACATTTACGGTACAAGATTTAATCATACAGCCCATGTAGTATAATATTTTACAAATGATGAATTACAGCAAACATGTGCAATATATCCATTATTACAGCTCCGTGGGCTGGCAGTAAGGCGATATGGGTCCGTTCTTATTGTGCATCCATGGGTAAAGATAAACGCATGTAGTGCTGAACACGTAACATGAACGTGCCGGGCGGCGCGGTCCCGTGGGTTAGATGCGCGTTCATAATGCAGAGGGAAATAACTCTCAGAATAACGTTATTAGCACATTTTACAACTTGAGGAACGAATGTTTTTAATAAGGGCTGTACAAGTGTTCATACTGGGTAGTTTATTTAGTTTAAAAAAAATTATCCAACGATTTACAGACCACTCTTTCCCCATGTAAGTCAATGGGAAAAAGTGTTTCCGGGCCTGGCAACCAAAAGGAAGTGTAGTACCGCCGTTTGGCCAGCACGAATATTTTCATCAGAGTCCGGCGCACTTCCTGGGGGCTTGGTTGGGCCATGTTAACAATACCGTGTAACTGTCACGTTTGAAGGGACGAAACCGTGATATATTCACGTCTCCCAGCATGGTAGATCGTCACATGTTCACGTCTTGCCGTGATACCGGGTTGTAAAAAGTATAATGAAATGCATAATAGTTAAGTCAGGATAAGAACAACTGAACCTTTTATGGGTCTAGAGCATAAGTATTTATACAGTTTATACGGTTTAACCCTCCCCAGGATATTCTGCTGTTAGGTAATATGATTGATGACAGCACCCTTTCTGAGTTTCATTCAATTATCACCTATGAATAATGCCAATGTCCAATTCAGTGCCAGGAGGATTTTCATCAACCTGCCGTATTCTGATCCAAAGAAATGTCTCTATCCACCTCTTCAAGGTCCTTTAACCAACAATTCATTAGCAGGCTGCGATTAGACAAGCAGTTTACTGACTGACTGAATGACCAACGTAGTCATAGTTTTAGCAATTGATAAATATTAAAATATATTTTGATCCATGCTTAGGGTTGGTGGAATAACGGATAATGTTTTTAGTATGATTCTCTTTCATTTTCCACAGAGAAACACCTTGAGAGTTTTTTGGAGGAACTGGGGTTGGATCACCACTACAAAGAGAAGCTATCCCTAAGCACACTTCTAAGGATTGACAAGAAGACCATTACTGATGAACCTGCCAAGTGTAATTCAGATCTTCCATGGTATTTTCTGAAGAAACTAATGATGGTTAATGTGACAGCTAGGAATGTGAAATGTACACCTTCACATGAATCAGACTTGGATGATCACTTAGATCTTGATAATTTCGATGAAAGTACACATTCAGGTGACACACTGAATCCCCTTGATATTATCACAGCTCTCTTCCTGTGCTCTGATGGTTTTGTACAGCAGGAAATGGCCCTCAAAATGTCCATGTGTCAGTTTTCCGTGCCTCTGTTGCTTCCCAACTGTGACACAAAGCAGTGCACACTCATGCTTTGGGCCATGAGAGACATTGTTAAAAAGTACAGACCTCAGTCACTTTCAGAATCCATGGGATTTATTGAAGAGAGAATTGTTGTCTCTGAACTTCCAATGATATCTTTTGTGAGACTGGGTGAGTGCTCCTTGTCCAAGTCAGAGATCCTCAATGAGCTTCTGAGCAGTTCTCAGCAGTACCATGACACATTTGTTCACCACAACATGGAGGATGGTGACAGTCCAAGGAGAATATCCAATGGATTGGTGGAAATGACTTGGTACCTCCCTTGTGGGAACAAAAACATGGATGTCTTCAGCGAGCCAGTTGCTGTAGCTAACCTTCGTGGGGACAGTGCTTCATTTGAAACACAATTTGCTTTCTTGTGTCAGACATCGGCAGCAGTTTTTGTGTTCTTTGATGCTTTGGACTCTGAGTGTGAGCTGCTAACCAACCAAAACCACAAGGCACAGATCTTCTTGGTGGGTAACCGTCAAAGCAAAGATTTCAAATTAGATGCTGTAAAAAAGGTAGCAACCAAGTTGGACTTGACTAACAGCAACATCATTTTAAAGACTAAGGGCATGAATGATGCAGACTTTGTCAAAGATTTGCGGGAAAAAGTCAGCAATGCAATTGAAAACACACAGATGAAGAGGGGAATTGAGAAGATGGCTGACGTTGCCCATGAACATGGAATCTGTGTTGATGAAGACTCTCCAGAGTGCCAGGAAGCGAAGAAAAATGCAGATGCTATCACTGCAGAAATTCAAGACCTTCTTAAATACAAAGAAGCTCAGCTTCCCTTGCAAGGCCAGATATGGAAAGACCTTACTTGCTTGGAGAAGGAAGAATTGCGACTTAAGAATGTTGGGTCTAAAAACATAGAAAAGTACAAAAGTGATCTTCAGCTACAGAAAACCAAACTTCGGGAAAAACAACTCTCAGGACATGTCGAAGGCAATGACATATTTCATCAATGCAATATCAAGCCCAGGGATGGAGAAGAAGGAGGAGAAGAAGAAGAAGAAGAAGAAGAAGAAGAAGAAGAAGAAGAAGAAGAAGAAGAAGAAGATACAGAGGTGGTATTTCCTGAAATGGATGCGAATGAACCTCGATAACGTGTCTCGAGAAAAACTGTGTGACCTCAGGGAGCAGTACAAAGAAAAACGCAAAAACCCTGATAACAAAGAGAAACTTTCCAACAGCTCATTAGGGACTGAACACTTCTTCCGTGAAATGGGGCAGATCTATGAAGCTTCCCTTTCCCTTCCTGAAACAGACGCAGCACGTCAACAACTACAGCATCTCCCCAAGCTATGTGCTGAGTTAATGCTTGATGGATTTCCACTTGAGCTTGTAGATGGAGAAGCATCCAACATACCTATCGGATGGGTGACTGACGTTCTCTCTCAGCTCAATGACTTGGTGTCTCCTAAGAACAAGATCCTGGTAGTCACAGTTCTTGGAGTTCAGAGCACAGGAAAGTCCACTCTCCTCAACACCATGTTTGGAGTGCAGTTTGCAGTCAGCAGTGGTCGATGCACTCGAGGTGCCTTTATGTTGCTGATTAAAATCAATGAAGATGTCAGAAAAGACTTCAACTGTGACTTCATGGTGATCATTGACACTGAGGGCTTAAAGTCACCAGAGCTCGCACAACTGGACAATAGCCACGAGCACGACAATGAGCTTGCAACACTTGTTGTGGGGCTGAGTGATATCACCATCATCAATGTTTCAATGGAGAATTCAACAGAAATGAAGGACATCCTACAGATAGTTGTACACGCTTTCCTCAGGATGAAAGAGGTGGGCAAAAAGAAGCCCAAATGTCAGTTTGTTCACCAGAATGTGTCGGATGTTTCAGCCCATGACAAGAACATGCGAGACAGGGAACTACTCCTGCAACAGTTAAACGAGATGACCCAGGCCAACCCTGTCTCCTAGAAATTACGTTCCCACAAAACTAAACTGCATTCTCAAATACGTTTCGCAAGAAACGTATTTCCTTCCACGTTACGTTTGTTATGAACATATCTTAAATACGTTTATTTTCTACATATCTTCTAGAAACCTATTTTCTCCCACATGACGTTTGTTATGAACGTATCTCAAATACGTTTGCTTTGTACCTATATTTGCCATTTCTTTTCTAGCTTATAACAATGATAATAGTAATTTATTAATATCATTTTAGAGCAAACTTATTTTCGCGCTGGCTGGCGGCTCACTGTTCAGTTTACCAAATCCGTTATTATGCTGGTTAATGGTTAATAATCACAATATTGTTTGTAGTCGTTTCATACAGCATTCTCAATTACGTTTAACAAGAAACGTATTTTGTCCCACGTTACGTTTGTTCTGAACATATCTTAAATACGTTTGCTTTCTACCTATCTTTGACATTTCTTTTCTAGCTTATAATAATGATAATAGTAATTTATTAATATCATTTTAGAGCACACATTTGAAATCTACGATCGGGCTTGATATCCTATGGTTAAATTCAAATCAGTAGGCGAGGCTGTAATTTCGCCAGCTGCGAGGCAGAAAATAATAGTTTTAACATGCCAAAAAGCTGCTGTGTCGTTTATTGCACCTCAAACATTAAAACAAATCCAGAGTTACGTGTTTCTGTACTTCCTCTAAGAAGAAAGGACAGTATACAACAGAAGAGCTCTGTGGCTTCAGGCTTGATCGCCGTTCAAATGACAGCTGGTTTCCCCAAAAGTGGGCAGGGCTGTAAAGTGACGTAGGAAAGATCATCAGCTCGCTGATTGGATGTTTTAGCCGCAATGCACGTCGGGATATGGTGTTAATGCGATATGAAATCCGAAAAAAAAATCAGAGTTTAGGATGGCCGAAGACACTACACTACCCATAATCCCCAGCTATCGTTTGGGACTACAGTCCCGTTGACAAACCCCGTGATTAATCTTCAAGCTCTGGGATTGGATGTTGGAGTGGCAGTGCGCCAAGGTTACGCCGAGCGCCAAACAGCTCTTTGAAATGGAACGAAACCACGGCAGACTTTCCAAAACTGGACTCGAACGCCCCCCCAGAACTACAGATGCTGGCTATTGTGTTTCGCAACATGTTCTATGGCACGTCTCTACTGGGAATTGTAGTTTTAAAAGACGTTTTCGTTTTTCCCAAAATTAGAAGTTGACAGTATTAAACTGTGTACAGCCCTGGAGGTTTAGGGGATAGGAAACAAATTGGTGTGTACAAATGTAAAACATGTAAATAATAAATGGGTGAAAATCGCTTGTGTCCATAATGGGAAGCATTAATATATACCCACATGCCAGCTCATTGTTACTTTGTAATTCTACTCCACTACAATTCAGAGGTTAACCTGGTATTTTTACTCCACTACATTTATTTTAGTTACTTTGCAGATTCTGATTAATGATGTGAAATATAAACAACCCTTAAATCAGACTTTAGTTACACCTGAGTAAAATTCAGGGAACGGTGATTGTCAAGTGCCAACAATCAGGAGAGATATTAGTTGGTGCTTGAGAAGACTAAACATTTATCTGCAGATCTCTATAAAGTATATTCATTACTCGTTATTCTCTACTAATAGTTCATTAAAAACTGTATATAATAGCTATTTTGCACATCCCTTTCAAGATTTTCTAAGGTTTATTGACATATCATATACACCACTATGTTGAAGTTATGCAATTAATGAAAAACTTGGGTCACAGGTTCCTCAACAGTGCATTACAAGACATCTATCAATATGTGTGTATTCCTCCACCATTAAACTCAAATTCTGCACATGTCTTATATTATCTACATACATAAGAGTATAATTAATATATATAGGAAAACAAATAACTGGAGCAGCATTCATAGATCTTTCTGCTGCCTATGACACTGTCCAACACCGTACAATGGTCAGGAAACTACTGGACATGACTGGTGACCTGAATCTGTGTCAAGTCATCAAAAGCCTCCTCAACAACAGGCGCTTCTACGTCCAGTTAAATGACCAGAGGAGCAAGTGGAAAGCCCAAAAGAACGGCCTCCCACAAGGTAGCGTACTGGCCCCCCTCCTTTTCAACATATACACAAACGACCAGCCATTACCCCCAGAATGCCAGCGTTTCATCTACGCAGACGACCTCTGCATCACCACCCAACAAGTAGACCTCCAGAAGATTGAGCCTGTCCTTGAAAGTGCCCTCCAAGAAATGTCAAGCTACTACAATAACAACCACCTGAAACCCAACCCATCAAAAACCCAACTATGCAGCTTCCACCTGAGGAACCGAGACGCCAAAAAAGAACTGAGCGTCACCTGGGATGGCCACAAACTGTCCAACCACACGCATCCCATGTATCTTGGTGTTACACTGGATAGGACACTCTCCTTCAAGAAACACCTGGAGAACACCAAAGCCAAGATCAACACCCGCAACAACATCCTGCGCAAACTAGTGAACTCCAAGTGGGGCGCAGATCCACCAACAATCCGTGCAACTGCCATGGCCCTGTGTTTCTCTACAGCAGAGTATGCCTGCTCAAGCTGGAGCCGATCACGTCACACCAAACTGGTCGACACAGCCTTGAATGACACCTGCCGCATCATCACGGGATGCGTTAAGACAACACCTGTCCCGTGCCTCTATGCACTAGCCGGCATCTCTCCCCCACACATCAGACGACTGGGTATCGCTCAAGATGAACGGAGAACACAGGAGACAGACATCAGACACCCCTTGCATGGCCATGTAGCACCCCCACGCAGGCTCCGATCCAGAGCCAGTTTTGTGCAGACAGTCCTGCCCCTCCAGACAACCAAACAAGCAGCAAGGACCAACATCTGGGAAGATGAATGGCAAAGACATGACACACGAGCTCTTGAATGGCTGGACAGAGGAATCACACCAACGGAAAGCCTCGCTAGTGGCCACGACCTTGGCTGGACAACCTGGAAGTCACTCAATAGACTGCGTGTGGAACAGGGGAGGTGTAAAGCACTGATGAAAGTGTGGAACTACACCACAGAAGACACGTGCAGCTGTGGATCAGTGCAGACAATGTCCCACTTACTGGAATGTGCCGATGCCCCCCGGTGCAGTCCAGAAGACCTGGTAGAACCTACCCCATCAGCTGTGGCCTGTGCCCGATACTGGCAGAACGACATTTGAGATTGCTACGGACTCGAAGAAGAAGAATATATATATAATATCAGTTAAAATAAGTGCTTCAACACAGTTAACATTGCAGGAAAGCAATATATTAGACGTTAAGTACTTTGTCAGGCTTAATATTTATCTGTAGATAGATACCCCCAAAGCTTTTTTCTTATTTGAAAGAAAACCTAAAGTATTCTTTAATGTGTTAATAAAGGTTAATTAGTTTGTCTGTTTTGCACATCCTCATATTAATATCTTTGTACATCAGGCACGAAACTGTTATCTTCTTGATTTTTTATATTCTATATTTCTATCATTGACCTTCTACTTTCCCCCTATGAAAGTATGTACTCTTAATATTTTATTCATTAAATAACATTATTCAACAAAAATAACATTATTCAACAAAAATAATTAAATAACGTGCTTTAACCACTAGGCGGTGCACACAAGGTACACACAGTATACTAATAATAACTTTGTATTATTAGTGTAGGACACTTATGTATGTATAACATCTGAAGATGTGTAGTTGTATTCATGTTTTTACATAATTGTACAGGATATTGCTATATTATTTCTCATGTTTACTTCTACACATCAATATCTGATTTGTAAAACATCACAGACAGAAAGGTATATCCGTCATTTAATGGTAAGCTATTGCAATTGTGATTCCATAGATGTGTCTCCCATCACCCAAATCCCCTGACTATTCTCTCAACTCAGTATTTACATTCTTATATTCAAAGAAAATCAGTAATATCTTTAAAAACTACAAGTCCTTTTCTATCAGCTGTGCACCGTTATGGTGTAAATATAACCTATCTACCAATTGGATCAAATATAAAAGTCAGCCGAATTAGTATTGATACTGCAAGGAGATGTATTTTGTGAAAAGAAATGTAAGATGTTGTTTAATTGTTGATATATTTATGATCCACGTCACGTATTCAGTTTCGGCGGGCGGCACTTCTTCCTGTTTGTCCAGAAGTCTTCTCATCAGGGCTCTATAAATAAAGAACTATGGCAGATGTGTAATATTTAATGCAGCCGAACCGTGTATTAGAATGCCGTTATGTGATGACTTTCAAAGAGAAAAGCAAGAACACTCGGAATAAAGTATTATTATTATTTTTTTTAATGTTTTCAGATTTCACATCGCATAAACACCATCTCCCAACGTGCATTGCGGCTAAAACATCCAATCAGCGAGCTGAGGATCTTTCCTACGTCTGTTTCCGGTATTGTTCCTGTAATGAGAGTTCACATTTATGCTACATTGAAGGGTGGAATTGACTACACATCTTCAGAAACATAATTTGCTTCAGATATACTGTAACTCATAGCAATATTGTAACCATTAAGAAAAGCCAACTGCATTAAAAACCCAGTTAACAAACACAAGGTAAAGTATTTTTCCTTCAGTAATGAAGATGTAATTCCAATGTAGACACACCTGGGGTCGCTGTTCAGTCTGTTACGCTGAGCCATGCATTGTCTGGAACGTAAAAGGGACGAAGAAGACAAAGTGAAGTGACGTACTTCCGGTTCAATGTGAAAACATTCCCAGTTAAACCATAGATATATATAAAAACATATGTTTATATATATCTATGAGTTAAACAACAGAAACAAATCGCTTAATAAAAAGATAAAACACTGGCATGTAATTTACGTTAGAATAAATAGAATGGCTTTGAATAATAGATGAGAGTAAAATCTACGTCACAGCCCCACCCACTTTTGGGGAAACCAACGCTGTCATTTGAACGGCGATCAAGCCTGAAGCCACAGAGCTCTTCTGCTGTCCTTAGAGGAAGTTTGAGGTGTTTGAGGTGCAATAAACGACACAGCAGCTTTTTGGCATGTTAAAACTCTGCCTCCAGCTGGCGAAATTACAGCCTCACCTACTGATTTTAATTTAACCATAGGATATCATGCCCGATCGTCGATTTCAAATGTGTGCTCTAAAATGATATTAATAAATTACTATTATCATTATTATAAGCTAGAAAAGAAATGTCAAAGATAGGTAGAAAGCAAACGTATTTAAGATATGTTCAGAACAAACAAAACGTGGGACAAAATACGTTTCTTGTTAAACGTAATTGAGAATGCTGTATGAAACGACTACAAACAATATTGTGATTATTAACCATTAACCAGCATAATAACGGATTTGGTAAACTGAACAGTGAGCCGCCAGCCAGCGCGAAAATAAGTTTGCTCTAAAATGATATTAATAAATTACTATTATCATTATTATAAGCTAGAAAAGAAATGGCAAATATAGGTAGAAAGCAAACGTATTTGAGAATGCAGTTTAGTTTTGTGGGAACGTAATTTCTAGGAGACAGGGTTGCCCAGGCAGCAGCCAAAATGGAAAAGAAAGAAGAGTACTCGAGCTTCACTGATGTGATGGAGTACAGACCAGACACTGGAAACTGGTACATTCCTGGACTCTGGAATGGAAACCCACCAATGGCAGCAGTCAATGCAGGCTACAGCGAGGCTGTTTATGAGCTCAAGAAGAACATCATCCACATTTTGGGAAGTTGTGGATCATCAGCTAATAATATCTTGGAGTTTACAGAACAGATGAAGAGCCTGTGGATGGCAGTAAAACATGAAAACTTCATCTTCAGTTTCAGAAACAGTCTCGTGGCTGATGCATACATGAAGCTGTGCGCAGAATTCAACAAATGGAAATGGGACTTCAAAAAAGAAATGTACACATGGGTTACACAAGCTGAAACAAGAATCTCCAACTTCGGTACAGCTGCTGATAAATCTAACATATCTGACATGAGAGAACTTCTCATGCTATTGAAAAGCGAAGCTTTGAAAGAGCTTTCTAAATGGGAAACAAAGCTTCTTGGAAATCTGGACCAGTACTTCAAGCAAAAAGAGGGTCATGTCTATCTTGTTGAAGGATACAGACTGGTGTTTAAAAACAGTGCTAAGAGCCTTCGACGAGAAATGGAAAGATCTGTGTTTAATCAGCTCACAGCAGCAGCCGACATCAGACAGGGGATGACAGAAGTTGATAAAATCAAGGAGAACCACCCAAAGGACTTAGAGGGCAGAGTTTGTGCTTTGATTGAAGAATGTAGGAAGACAAAAGTCAAGATGACAGAGAAAGAGCTGGACAAAGAATTTGAAAATATGTGGATTAAAACAGTGAAGGAACTAACCTTTAAAGAAATGAAGGTTGAGGACATTTTCAACAGTCTGTCTCACCGCCTGAGAACAAATCTATCAACCAAGGGAAGTCATGCAAGTGATTTGTTAAGTCAAAAAAGCCTGACAGAATGTGGACTGGTGTCTTTTAAATATACAGTTGAAGGATTCTTAAATCAATGTGCAGACAAAGTTAAACAGTGGTTTACAATACCAGGTAATGCAAAGGCTGTACAACAAACAGCTGACAGCATCATTACAGTTTGCTCACAGATGGTGAGTGACAAAATGCAAAGAAAGAGTAATTACCATGATACCTACATCAATGAGATTCTAAACATGATTGATGAGAGGCTGCAAAACAATCAGGAAGTTGGAACAGACATCACTTTTGAAGTCTCTCTGAAACAGCACATCTGTGGAGACGCAGCCAGAAGGTTTCAGAAAATGCATCTAGATTTCCTCCATGAGAAAGATCCCTACAGATGTCTGAAGGAAAACAAAGGAAAGTTTCTTGCTGATTTTAAAGACGTGTTCCGTAATGTAGACCAGTGCCAGAAGAAGGCAGAAGAATTCACAGACCGATGCTTGAAGCCTGCAGTCGAAGACTTTGTCAACCGCTCCCTGGGTCCTGATATCATTGGTGAAATGAGGACAAGAGAGGAGTTCAGCAAAAGAATGTCCTTCCAGTATTCACTTTTACTGGATCTGCTCTCAGAGGATGACTTTACCTAAGTACCTGAGCTTTATTTGCTCCTATGAGAAATATGTAAAGAAATGGATACTCAACAAAATAGAGGAACACTTCTCAGATGGGTCTACGATGTTTGAGGATCCACATCTCCAGTCATGTGTCAACAGAATAAATAATGCTATCCAGAAAGCTAAAACAGGAAAGAGTGGCAACTTAAAGTCATTTGTTGAAGTTGTCTGTAAGGAACTTGGTGACAAACTGGTCATTTCCCAGGATACTCTTGGGGCCTTCATGACCCTGAACAAGGCCGACCAGGAACAGTTTGCTCACTGGCTCACTGAGTGTGTGACAGAGATGGCACAAACTCTTAGAGAGAAGTTTAAGAAAACAAACATCCAAACTAAACTACAGAGCCTTCATGTGAATCCTCAGAACGAGCTTTTCAACAAACTGATTGGATGTGGTAAACAGTGTCCGTTCTGCAAAGCGCCCTGTGAGGCAGGAGGAACAGCCCACACTGAGCACTTCACTTCACTTCATCGACCACAGGGTCTGGGTCAATACAGATGGAGTGATTCAGAAAAACGTTGCATCGACATATGCTCTTCCTCTGTGGACAGCGACAAAGGTTTTCGCTGCAGTGATACAAATGATCAATCGCACCCTTTCAAGCGTTACAGGGAAATCTATCCGGACTGGAAAATCCCACCAGATGCAAGCCTCCAGGCATCAGACTACTGGAAATATGTACTGGCAAAGTTCAATGATGAGTTTGCAGCAGCATACAATGTAAAGCCTGCTGATATTCCTGAAGCTTGGGAACTTATCACACCTGAGCAAGCAGAGGCAAGCCTCAAAGAGTCATTTCATATCAAATGAGAAACTACAAGCTTTGTGCTCACAGAGGGTCCCGTCCTCCTCATTACAGTCATCATCCTCTCATGGATATTTAGATTACACTTGATTTATATGAAGAGAAGCACACAAAGTAACATGCTGTTTATGAGATGGCAAGGTTGACCATATATTTCAACAACAACTTACAAGGAATTTGTAAACGTTTCAGTTTGATTAAATCACACTTTAAATCCTTCTTTTTTTGGTTGTTATTGTAGTATCAATTAATCAAATTTGATTTGATTAAGTGTTTTATTTCCTTAAAGTAACTGATGCACAAATATTTGTTTTTATGTTTTTCTGTGGTTTTGTCATAAACACATTAACAATTGTAATGTTTTAAAATATCATTCAGTCTTCATGTCAACATCAAGATTATACAATGTCTTTATTTTTATTTCAAATAAGTATCTGATTCTTATTATTTACATTTTTATTGACACGTTTATAATTGTTGTCTTTTCATTTCTGAGCTGCATCAAAAGCCACACATTTAGATTTTTAAATCAGTGAATGAATCATTGTGTTTTAGTGGTGGTACAGTCAACATGTAAACATGACAGAAAGTCTGTTGTAATCAAGTTCAGTTTGACATGTGACCGTTTCCCAGAGAGTTAGAATCTATTCTTATTTTGTTTCATTTATATATTTACATATTCAATGTTTAACATATCATTCAATCTAAATGTCAACATGTAGATTACACATGAATGTTGTTCTTACCTTTTTGAGTGCTATATGGCATTGCCTTACCAAAAACCTGAAAGTCTTTCTTTGTTTTCCAATCAAGCATTTAGCTCCAAATATTTACATTTTGATGTTCATGTTATAATATTTACTCAAAATGTATTTGTGATGAAGCGCACACACTCCCTCACTAACATTTAGGCTTAACAATTTGTTTGTTAAGAAAGGTAGTACATGTTTCTTCAGAGTTGTCTTTATTTCAGTTAAAGTTATAAAAACAGTTTACATAGAAAGACTAGTAAAGGGCATCTAGATTAATTTGTCAGTCTGTAAAACACACAATCACAAAGTAATCACCATTTCCTTTGTTCAGACCTGGAAGCCATTTTGTGTCACTGCTCAAAGGGGGAGCACGCCTCCAAAGTACTCCTTATGTGTGCCGTATGAGTAGGCGGAGTCTTGGACGTGATTGGTCAGGAAATGAGTGATTTTATGAGTGTCAATTAGGTTAAAAACTATCCGTTTTAAGCAGAACTTGTTGTTTCTGAAGGTACAATGTTTATGTTGATGCAATTATGAATTTACTTAAGCCTTTAGGATTGTATTAAATGTAGACCACAGTGTTTAATTTTGTATTTAACCCTTCAGTCCGCTTTCAGAACCATGACCTGATTGGCCAGGTTGGATTGGGAAGGCGGGCAGTCTCCTATAAATGTGGTTGGGAAGAGAGGGGAGGGGGCATTTGGTGTTTGTTCCTTGCTGGTGAATGCAGCACCAGGCATGCAGTTTTTGTTTCTGTGGAATAATGTGGAAGGTTGAGAATAAAACGCCTGTCTATTTTTGCAAGAAAGCCCTCTTTCCACGTATCGTTCTTTCACCTGCACCTCACTTTGTAACAATTGGTGGCAGTGGTGGGATCTTTTAAACGCCTGTGAGGAGTCTTTGAGGACAGACTGACTAAATGAAAGGTGTACGTGGAAAAGGTCGTCAGACAAGGGCCACAGCCTTGCCAGACACGGAGGAAGAAAAAAGACACGGGACAATGGAAGAAGAGGCACCACTTGAGGGAGCCGGGGCAACTGAAAGTGAAGAAGATGAGGAAGAGCCGGTGGTTCGCCCCAAAGTGTTTACAGCCCATACTGGAGGTGGGGAACTCTCTACAGTAAGCTTCATGGAAGAAATTAGAGAGTTTGTGCACAGGTCTAAGCAGACTGAGACAATACTTTTTGAACAGATTAAACAATTAAGAGGTGACATGGTTTCAAAGTCAATGCGGGACTCAGAAGTACACTATGAGCACCCTGTTCAACAGTATCCCTATTCAATACGTCCTGATAATCCAAGGCTACAAGCTGAAACCTCAACACACCTGCTAAAACCTGGGCCACATGGAAAATTCAATCCACTGCAAACTAGCAGGCCTGTCTCCTTATCAGATTGGCCTATCCAGCCTCTGCAGGATAATGATCCACCAATCCGGACAGCAAGGCCCTATGTAAGTGAGCCAAGAATACCTGAGTTCAAAGAAGGTGAAGACCCAGAAAGTTTTTTTGTTCGGTTTGAACGGATGGCCAGAACATGGGGGTGGCAGCCATTTGAGTGGGCACCCAGAGTAGTAACCTTGTTGACAGGAAGAGCTCTTGAGGCCTATGCTGGAATGGATGAGGAACAGTCCGAGTCTTATGACGCCATTAAAGCAGCAGTGTTAATGAAGTTTAATGTTACTGAAGAGACTTACAGACAGCGATTCCGGAGCACCATTTTGCCAGTGGGAGAGACTGTAAGAGAAACCTACAACCGTATTAAGGGGCTTTACAAAAGATGGATGAGACCGAGCAGCCGTACTAAGGAGGAGATGGGAGAAACCATCGTTTTGGAGCAGTACCTCCGTGTGCTTCAACCAGACGTCCGCACCTGGGTCAAGGAGCACAATCCCCAGACAGGAGAAGAAGCAGCAGATCTGGCAGAACGGTATGCAGCGGCCCACAGGGAACCTTCAAAGAAAAGAGTGACTGTTGGGAAGCCAAGGTATGGGGAGGGCAAACCTCACAGTTGGCCAGCTGTTGAGAGCATGGACACTGGGGTTGGTAAGAAACCTGCATATGCAAACTTTATATGTTACTATTGTCAGCAACCTGGACACAAGGCTTCATTGTGTCCAGTAAGAAAGTCTAAGTCGGTTGAGCTGTGTTCAGTACCCCGTGCAGAAAGTGATGACCATGCTAATGTAACTGATAGTGGAATTGTTCCACATAGACATGTGATAGTTGTCACCGTAAATGGTCAAGCAGTGAAAGCCCTAGCTGACACTGGTAGTTCACAAACCTTGGTGAAGTCCAGCTTACTTGGCAATGCAATAACTGATTGTGATGGCAGTGTAAATATCACCTGTGTTCATGGATGTAAAAAGGATTACCCAACTACGGATGTTACCATTGTGGTTGAAGGACAAGCCTTTGTGCTAACTGTTGGTGTGTTAGAGCACCTAGCTTATGACGTGATCCTTGGGGATGATTTGCCAATCTTAGACCACTTGGTACAGCAAAACTCACTTGCGTACTCCTATGTAGCTACGCGCTCTATGGCTAAGGGGTTAGAACCTTTACCATATGCAGATGATGATTTATGTGAAGGGGGTGGTAAGCTTAAGAAAACAAGGCGGCAGCGCCGTCAAGAGAAAAACAGAAATCACGATAAGGGTAAATGGCCTGAGCATACTCTCCCTGTAACTCCCCTCATCGAGCCCCAATGGCAAATCCCAGATAACTTCAGAGAGAGTCAGGAGAATGACCCATCTCTAAAAACTCTATTTGCAAAAGCATGCAAAGTAGATGGGGATGAAGATGCAACCACAGGGGGGCTGAAAAATCTAATTGGGGATCCCTTCATCATAAAAGACAATCTTTTGTATTTGGCAGACAGAGAGAAACCTAGGCTAGTCATTCCAAAAGAGTTTCGCCAAATAATCCTGCATGTGGGTCATACTGTGCCATGGGCTGGGCATCTGGGACAGGCAAAAACGTATGATCGCATTGCGCAGCGTTTCTATTGGCCAGGATTATACAGAGAGGTAATTGATTACTGTAAAACGTGCCATGAGTGTCAGGTTGTAGCTCCTAACAAACTTTCAAACAGAGCCCCTCTACAAGCATTACCAATAATGAGTGTACCTTATGAAAGAATAGCCATGGATATAATTGGTCCTCTGCCAAAGAGTAGCAAGGGTCACAGGTTTGCCCTGGTTATTTGTGACTACGCCACCAGATATCCAGATGTCTATCCACTGCGTTCCATGCAGGTCAAACATATAGTGCGGTGTTTGGTAGAGCTATTCTCTAGAGTTGGCATCCCTAAAGAGATCTTAACAGATCAAGGTACAAACTTTATGTCCCATCTGATGAAGTCACTGTACTCACAACTTGGTGTTAAAGGGATCAGAACAACTCCATACCACCCTGAAACTGATGGTCTCGTAGAACGTTTTAATGGTACACTGAAACAAATGTTGAGAAAATGTATTGATGATACTGGCAAAGATTGGGATAAATGGTTGCCGTTCCTTTTGTTTGCATACAGAGAAGTGCCACAGGCTTCAACGGGTTTCTCCCCTTTTGAGTTATTATATGGCAGACAGGTCAGAGGCCCTTTGGACGTGCTGAAGGAGAACTGGGTGGCTGGTGAGGCAGTGGCAACAACAACCAACAGTATCATCTCCTACATTCTGCAGATGAGAGACAAACTGGACAGTTACAGAGAAACGGTCAAAGAACACATGCATGAAGCTCAACGTAAGCAGAAGGTGTGGTACGACAAACGTGCTCGTGAAAGAGAGCTGAAAGCTGGCCAGAAAGTCTTGATACTGCTCCCGACCGGCCCAAGTAAGTTACTAGCCAAGTGGCAAGGCCCTTATACAGTAACCCGAAAGGCAGGCCCTGTGACCTATGAAATTCTCTGTGCTGATAAAAGAAAGTGCAAACAGTTGTTGCATGTAAACCTTTTAAAAGAATATCATGACAGGAAAAACCAGAAGGCAGGTGGAGAACATGTTCTGATGATCCAAGATGTCCAGCTGGAAGAGGAGGATGTGTGGGAAGCAGAGGGGGCTGACATGGTGCCGCACAGAGAGAAGTGTAAACCCCAGGCCCCTCCGGAGCATCTGAGTTTGGATCAGTGGCATCAACTGGGTGAGCTTAAACAATCCTTCCCAGCATTGTTCTCAGAAAAACCTGGACGCACTGATGTGATAAAGCATAACATTGTACTGAAGGACACTAAACCTGTTCGCCTGAGGCCTTACAGAATTCCTGAAAGAATGATGGAACCACTGAGAAAGGAGGTACAGTTGATGTTGGACATGGGAGTCATTGAACCATCTAGAAGTGAGTGGTCAAATCCTATAGTGCTTGTTCCTAAGAAAAACACCACTGAACCTCGGTTCTGCTCGGACATGAGGAAGCTGAACAGCATTTCCTGTTTTGATTCGTACCCTATGCCACGGATTGACGAGCTACTGGAGAAGTTGGGGAAAGCTAAGTACATCACAGCTTTAGACCTCTGTAAAGGTTACTGGCAGGTGCCTCTTGAACCAGCCTGCAAAGAGTATACAGCTTTTCAGATTCCAGGAATGGGTTTGTTTCACTACACTGTACTACCCTTTGGTCTTCATGGAGCGCCTGCAACCTTTCAAAGGTTAATGGACCTTGTTCTTAATGATTGCACCAGGTTTGCAGCAGCCTACCTAGATGATGTGGTAATCTACAGTGAATCCTGGGAAGAACATCTGCAGCATCTTAAAGCTGTGTTGGGCAAGATACAGGAAGCCGGGCTAACCCTGAATGCCAACAAGTGTTCCTGGGCTCAAGAGGAGGTAAAATACCTTGGATACCTGGTTGGACGTGGGCAAATACGACCACAAGTTGAGAAGATAAAAGCCATACAGGTAATACCCAGACCCCAGACAAAGAAGCAAGTGAGGTCCTTTTTAGGCCTGGTGGGGTGGTACAGAAGGTTTGTTCCCCACTTTGCTACATTAGCTGCCCCACTTACTGATCTAACAAAAAAATCTCCCACAAAAGTTGTGTGGAATGATGAGTGTGAAAATGCCTTCCAGGCATTAAAGAGGCAGATCTGTCAAGCTCCTGTGTTGCAGAGCCCGGAC